GCGCCACGGGCACGCCCGGCCACTAGGGGCTGCTGCTGCTCCACTAGCTGGGCCCTGCTCTGCAAGCCCAGGAGAACACACACTCCCAGGGGCTGGGGCTGGGGCTGGGGCGGCCGGAGAGCCTGACCCCGGGGCGGCCATGCTTCCCCTGGCCTGGGGCAGGAGCACATGGTGCCCTGTCTGCCTGGACGTGTGCACGCCTTGGGGTGGGGGAGGGGGCTGTGGACCCCAGGCGCCCTCCCTGGCACAGCCAGGCTCACAAGTTGGGGAGCCGTGCTGACCAGCCGCCTCCTGTCCCTGCCCCACTGCTGACAGGGGCCTCAGGGATGGGAGCCTGGGGAGGCAGCCCGCTCTGGGGACCAGTAGAGCAGCCGCTCTGAGGGGACGTCCCTTCCCAGAAGGCACTGGGGCTTGGTTTTAACTAGTCTGGCGGGAAGGGCCATCCTTGGCTTGCAGGCTGGCAGCCAACGGAGGGGCAGCTTTCATTCGGGTGGGAGGGACTTGGTGGCTGCCATTCGGCCTGGAGGCATGGCACCTCCTCCACCCCGGCCTCAGTCCTCAGGTGCTGGGCCCCCAGCAGGATCTCTGGGCCTTAGCTTAGCTCAGCCCTGCCCCTGTGGCCCCTGCAGGCTCGCTGCGGGGCAGGGGGCAAGCCCCTCACAGCAGGGACGCACCCCTATCCTGCCCAGGAGCCCTGGGATGGCGGAGCCCCCTCCCTCTTCCCGCAGAGCCTCCCCCTTCCTGTGCCGACTCTCGACCCTCAGCCCAGCCAGGGCCTGCCTCCCTGGGGCTGGTGTCCTCCTCTGTAGTCCAAGCTGTGAGCTACAGCGAGGAAGGGCCCGGCCCTCAGGGTCCTCCCTGTGTGTCACGGGGTCTCTGTGTAGGAACAGAGTGATGCGGTGGTCCATTGCAGACCCTCACTGGCTGAGGTGGGCGTGAGCTCGCACCTGCAAGGTGAGGCGGAGGTGGGCTTCCTCTGCAGGTCTCAGCGGGCCACCAGGGCGTGCATCTCAGCAGGAGCAACGCCATGGCCTCAACACTGGCCCAGAGACCTGTCGACGCCCTGCCCGCTGCGGTGCAGCTGCTGCCCGCAGGAACTGCACAGCACCCTGCTCCGGGCCTCCGGCCTGCCTCGAGAGCTGCCAGACAGGTGCTGCCCCTGAGGCTACACAGCCCCTCTCCCAGGAAGACCTCCCAGGCCAGTGAGCCTGCAACCCCCAGTGCAATGGGCAGAGAGCGGGGGTCGCTCTACCCTGAGAGGGTCCCCTTAGCTGGGAAGGGGACCCCCCTAGACTGAAGCAGCAGAAAGCTGAGCCCTGCCACTGGCTGAAGTGGCCTGGCCTGTCCAATGTACACTGAGTTTGTCCTTCTGTCCTCGGCGGGAGCAGGCCT